TGCCACTGTGATATATATATATATATATATATATTGAATTAAATGTGTTAAAAATATATTCATTTCTTTGGGACAAAGTCTGTATTATTGTGATTATCATTTTTTTTAAACAAGTTTCATATTAAGATTATATCTGCACATTGATGTTAATTTCTGACAATTTTGGCTCATTTAGAGAACAAATAGGACATAGAAGGAACTGTAGTCAACGAAAAAAAGTGACATTGATATTGACACACTGCTTATTCTACATTTAAGAAAATTAATTCTTTTCGATGATAACAGTTAATATTCAGTTTAATATTGAAATATATGAAATCAAAGCATTCTTGGTTTTGCAAAGCAAACCAAGAAAGAATTGTGAAGCAATTCTCCGGGGGTTGGCGAGCGTCAGCGAGCACGGGGCGGAGCCCTCTAGATGAAAAAAAAATAATAAAAATCAATATTAATAAATTTTTCTCAGTACACTGGAAGTTTTGTGTTCGGCTAACCACCCAACAGGAATATCTGCTTTTACATCCCAGAGCCTAAGGACAAGAAAACTGGGCTGAGCAAAGTAGGCTTTGGTCCTTTATGGGCTGCCATGCCAGTGAATTTAGTTTAGTTGATTTTCTTCAGTAATATGCCAACATAGAATTTTTTATAACAGATAAAGCAAAAGTCATACATACAAGCTATAATGTTTTTTTACAAAATAATAAGTAAGGCAAAATATATTACTAGATGTTCAGGACAAAAATCTTTTAGAAATCCAGAGTTTTCTTGAATATATCGAGCATCATAAACTCTATAGAAAGAAAAAAAAGAATCGTTAAAATTCATAATTTAAAAAAAAAAATTGTAAAGGAAATGAAGATTCAATCATTACTTGACAAACTGGCTCCTTCCTCCAACAACATATTCAAATGATTTTAGAGGATTGACAAATATAGAATATAGTGGCACTTTCTTCTCCTTAGCTTTACATAATACTAGCCTGAAAATAATCGGTTCTTAATAAAATTTCAAAAAGGATAATATAAAATTTCCACACAAAAATGAGACAATTCATAGCTCATCTTTAAATAGAAAAAACTTTCATTATTTCCACAAATCTCTTTTGTTACGCTAAACTAAGAAAAATGTAAAAAAAATTCATAAAAGTTTATTAAAATTATCTTGTTCTCATAATTGGAGAGATATATTTCTAAAACAAGTTTCCAAAACCTGAACAGACATTAGAAGAAGTATATTTAACATATTTATGATTTTAAAAAAAAATTCTAAATATAAGGAAAAAATTAAAATTCATTTTGTAGAAATTTATAATCTAAGCATCACATCACAGCCAAAGTAATTGGTTCAGTAAAAGCTAAAAAATGAGCATCATTTTAAAAAATGTGTTTTTGTGAAAAATAGAACATTAAATATATTAGTTTCTATCAAGTTAACATGATATAAAAATAAAATAAATATTTTTAGACACTAAGTAAAAAATGTTAGGAAAAAATCAAAAAGCTTATTAACTAAATAAGGTTTTAATATCAAGCCGAATCATATATTTAAACCATTTGACATGATATACATTTAGAACATATAAAAAACATTACACCTAATAGATATGTAAAAGGAAAATCAGCATGTGTATTAACAAAATAAGGCATTTGTATATAGTTAAATTAAATTTTTAAACCATTTAACTACATGATACATAAATAAAAAATATATTTTAAGACACTAAATGAAATTGAATCTCACTTTTAAACTATTTAACAGGATATACAGTTGAAATATATATTTTTAAGATATTAAAGAAAAAAAGTGTAAGAAAAAAATCAGCATGTGTAATAAATAAATAAAGATACAACATTATATATTTTTTTATAACTATAACAAATTTCAAAATATAATCATAGGTTCCAAGAAATTATGAGAATACCTGTCTGGTTTTTCTTTGCGTAAGTCTACTTGAAATACAGCAGCATCTTCTCCACAACTGTAAAATGTATTAGGCGAATCCATTTGCAGAGCAAGCTAAAATAACAAAAATTTCAACTTTTTATGTTCCTCTAATCTTTCTTCTAAAAAAGGAAACCACAACTATAGATCTGAACATCAGATTTAGAAATCTCTTTTCTTTTTAAAAATACCACCACTAAAAATATTTCCCATGAGGTGAAATCACTATAAATGGAGAAAAAATCATGGTTCATAGCATTTTTCTTACTCGGATACACTGGTTTATATAGAATATGTCAGGTCTGCTTAAAATTTACCACTAAAGTATGTTTCTATCAACTTATAAACTATGCTATTCAGATTCTTTAACAAATATTATTTGATTCAAAAAGCTAAATTAACATTATAATAAGAATCAAAACAAACCTACCATATAATAATAGAACTAAAGAAATAGATATCAATACAGCCGTTATCAATGACAAAGAAATAAAAGCTGATTCCTCCATTTCCGTTAAATTTTTCATGAAGCTTAATTTTTTCATTTCACACTGTTTGTTTACATACAAGATAATTTAGAGCCAAACATTTGTATTTTTTAACAATGAAAAAAAAATTAAGTTATTTTTCATATCTTTTTTTACTTTTTCAGCTACATTAATATAAAAAAAGTTTTAATTCTGTCAACATTTCTTTTTTTATAAAAATTATTCAAGTTTAAGATTCATTCAAATACTATATAGTTATCCTTAGACTGATTATTCATTAGATATCATATTCATCAAGTCAAATACTATGTAATGATCCTTAAACAGATTATTCATTAGAGATTTAATTACTAAAAATTTGCATTTTTAGCTACTAACAAGAGCGACTAGTAATCTTTTTTACTAAAGTGATATCAATGGTTTCTAGTCTTGTGGACCACCTAGAATTATTTTATCATGGTTTACTGTTTTAGTAGTTGGAGAAACAATCGTAATATTGAACGCTGCCTATAATCTTAATAATTATATCATTATAAACATAGTAATCACATGTCATTTATCAGAAAATATCACAAATTTAATTCATCCAATTGATCGCATACAGAACAAAAATATTATATATTAAAATATAAAATTATTTATTTTCAATATCTTCTCTATATAGCCAACTGTAAGTTTCACAGGAGTGACTGTGAGTTCAACTAAAAAATCCTGAAAATTTCTCCAATAAAATCATTTATTACGTATTGTAAAAAATTAACGTCTTTATAAATTTAAATTATTGATATTTTCTAACCATGAAATTCTAAATAAATTATATGCAGCATAATTTAAATTAATAATTATTTAAACAAGTTTACTTTTATCTCTAATCACATTTATTATTCTACTAGAAAAAATATTTACAAATGAAAGAGATGCCAAACATAAATTCGAGTTCTAATATTTCTAAATAAAACATAAATTTTTTTTAAATACATAAATGTGATCAATAATTTCTTGAAACTCTTGGACCTCGGATTTCAGGAAACTTCCGGATCGCGTTTCCCGGAAATCCGGATTTTTTCCGGAGCACAATCATCTCTGCTTTCATATCAGAATATAATAATCATTTTTAAAATTAATCAGCTAGGAAAGCTAATATACTAGGAAAGTTCAAAATGATGCACCACTTGCAATTTTATTTGCGCCTTTGAATTGGCCACTTTCTCCTTGAAATGTCTGAATCAATTACAACTTTTTTTTTAAAAAGGAAACTTATCAACTTCCAATACCTGGAAAGCAGGAGAAAAATTAAAACAACTTTACATGGCTGAATGAACATTGAAAAATACTATGTAAATGGGCATTAAACTGGATCTTTCTAAGCAAAAAGAAAAAAAGTAAAGAGCCCTTGCTACGGCCTATATGTAGGCTAAGTGACTATTTGAGATTGAGGCTCTATAAATTACAGTCCTTTATTGTAACCTTTACAAGTTATTTACACAGTATTATAACTAATTATTTTAATAACAAAATTGAATGAAATTTTAAGACCCTTTGATGAGCATAGGGACTGACTACTAATTTGCTTTAGCAGTTTACAACATGATCTATCAAATTGAGTAAAATTATCTAACAAAGTACTCCTTACCTTATGAGCTGCACCTTTATGCTGAGCAAGTTTTCTAGTCTTTTTGCACTCTCCAGAAGATGAAATTTCTCCAACACGTACTTGCCCATCCCGTCCACAGCTAACTATAAACCCATCTTGAGACAAAGGCATAAATTTTGCCTACAAAAATTTAAATTATTTGGTTTATAATGTTCATATTAGGTAAAATTTTAAAAACAGAAAACAAGACTACAAATTAGGGATGTAACAAATAGTGATTTGGCTGAATAGTCAAATATTCAGCCAAATAACATCTTTAAAAAAATCATTTATACATATTTTTTACATATAAGTAAGTTTAGTCATTAATTGAAAAATAATCAAAACTCAGCTTATAGGGTAAAAGGAGAAAAATTTTAATAAAAAAATTTAAGAAAATAAAGATAATTAGATGTTTAGAATGTTAAGTTTTAAATTTAAAAAAAAGAGAAATAGAAAAAATATTGTCTTAATTCATAAAACAAAACCTTAATACTAAAAATAATATTTTCCTCAAAAAACTATCCATAAAATGTTAAAAGAGATAATGTCTATCATAAACGCCTTTAAAAATGCAGTGCTATCATAAAAACGCCCATAAAAAAATTATAACACAAAAGGAAAACAGAAAAATAAAATATAGAAGAAAATTTTGAAGCTAAACATCTCAGTTTTCCAATTACAATATTTAAAAAAAAAAAAATTAAGTTTAAACTCTCATAAAAACCCTCTTGATTGCTGCATCATAATATAAACATCTATAGAAACAAAATTTGTGAAAAAGAAAAAGCTAGATAAAAACTAAAATGTTTCTTTAATTTTAAATTAAAGATTTAATGCCAAAAATATCAATTTAACATTTTTCCATTGCTGTATTTTTAGAAAAAAATGACCATAAAAGACTAACGTTCATGAGATAAGCTCTTTAAAAAATACTCTCTAATAAAAACGCTGATAAAAAGAATAGTTAATTAAAAAAAGCTAAAGAGGAACAGAAAAAAAATTCTAAATTCTGAAATGTTGAGAACTACAGTTTACTATGATACATACTAGTTACATGTCTTACAGTATCAGAAAAAAGTGACAAAAAAAAAGAATATTCTATTAGAAATGCTCCATTAAAATGTTGCGCTATAATGAAAAGAAAAACAAGCGAAAAAGAAACAAATTTCAAAACAATTCTCAATTTTTAAAGCACAAAAAGTTGAACAAATGATAAACTTAACTTGCTTGAATTACAATTTAAAAAAGAAAAAATCAGCATTACGAAACTGATAGATCAGTATAAAGTAATCTAGTTTCAATTCTTCAAATTTCACTGTTTCATTTATCTTTCAGAACATAAATTAACAAGTTTTAGAACTTAACAAATGTGTGTAAAAACAATTTCTAACAATGTATTGTAAAAAAATACTATTAAATTATTTTTTATTAAATCTATTCAAATTTCCCCCAAAAAAACTTTACTGAAAAATACGTTTCCAAGCAATACTTTGCTGAATATTTGGCCAATTTTTCGGCCAACTGAACATTCAAAAAAAAAAGCAAATACTAAATAGTGGCTGAATATTCGTTACATCCCTACTACAAATGATATACTGTTACAACATGCAACATTTTCCATCTTGTCTTTAGTTAAAAATCTATAAAGTTCATTTTACTAGAAATAAATTGAAAAAAATTAAGTAGTTAACAGAGGTTTTAAAATTTTTGAAGTTATAGTGTTATGCGTGTAAAAAAAATGATTTCTCATTACATTAGTTGGACGAAGTAGAAAACATTTGAACAGTGGTTCAAATGCTTTCACAGTTAAATTATAATAATTAAACAGTTAAATAATAAATTAATATAAACAGTTAAATTATAATACAAAAAATTCACTTCATGTGAAATTTAGTCCCTCCCCTCTATTAATAAATTTATTTAAAAATGATTGGTTGACATTTTTTTTAAAAACAGATAATATAGTACACATGAAATTACATTACTGAAATTAATTTTTAAATACTCAACCAGTAAAAATATTAACGCTTTATGTATTATGATCAGTAAATAATAAAATTAACGCTGATAAATGGTACTAAAAATACCCCTTCCCTCTGAATTTCACTTCCAAAAGGTGCATAAAAAAATTAACTTTGCCAAGTAAATATTATGTACTAATATATAATACTACTATCCCAGGCTTAAAGAATATTCGAAGTTTGATACCACTGTTTTGTATTTAGTAGTTAACTAAATTGTTATCTTAACAGTTATCGAATATTTACCTGAAAAACATTGCTTCTGTGACCACTATTATAATCAAAAAGTGGCTCTCCTATGGTCCAATCCCATACTACTATGTCTAAATCATCTGATCCAGAAGCAAGTTTGGTACCGGTTGAGTTAAAATTTAAGGCATTTACACATCCATCATGTCTTTTCATTTTATCCATTAACTCTAATCGTTCAACCATATGAAGGCTTCCATAACACTTATATCGGAAAAGATCTGGGGAATAATTTAGACGATGTCCATACTGTCGAGAAGTAAGAGCTAATGGAGCATTCCAGTTATATTTTGGTCTTGGAGTACTAGGAGTAGGATCATAGTCCTTATCACTTTGATCAGCTGGTTTAGCTTTCCCAACCTTTCCATAAGTATGATCACTATCACAGTTTGAGTCAGTTTTTTCACTAGAATTTTCACTATCACTATCTGAAGAACTTCTGTGAGAGAGTCTCATAGAAAGATTTTTATCATCCGAAGAACCGGAAGTATCATTTTTACTTTTCTTTTCTAGTGGAGATTGACTACTACAAGATGCTGTTGCTTCATTTACACTGGCTGAAACAGCTTCTAACTCCTCACCCTGTTGATGTACATTTGGAAAGTTACATGGCTCATTATTACCAGAGTCTGGACTATTCTGTCCCAATTTTTTTTCAATATCACTAAAATTTTCGATATCACTTTCGTCAGAGGTCTCATTTTCTTGTATAACATTGATGCCACTATCATCTTTCTTCATTCTTTTGCCTTTCATACTGCATTCTTGGTCACTAGAAGACCCTAAACAGTCATTTTCAGAAGATTCTACCTGAGGTGATCTTTTAGATTTTCCAGAACTTTTGGAACTTGAAGCCATGTTTTTAAAGTTGTTTTTTACTTTGGCATCTATACGACTATATTAATTTCATCTAAAATACATAATGATTATAATGAACTGACAGAAAATCATTTTAAGAAAAATATACTTCGTATTATTTAGATACTACAGAACAAGAATATAGAAAAAAGGAACTAAGTGGATGTAATTATCTTTATATTTTAGCTTTATTATTTTTTATAGAATTCTGCTTTAAAATGTATAATACAGTATGTCAGTAAAATCGCATCACTTAAATTACTAAATTTTAATTAAAAATGACTTAGCTAAAACCACTAAAAACAAAACAGAATAACACAAAATATAACTTATTAAAGTTGAAAAGTTTTCAAGTTCAAACTATTTAAAAAATTATATATCTAAAAGAGAATTTCACATTTCAAAATTTTGAAAATATATAACTTGGATTTTATTGAGAAAACAAATTTCATAACTAAAATTCTATTAATGTAGTATCAGATTAATATGACGATATTTGAAATTATATATATATATATATATATACATATATATATATATATTTATCAGAAAATTTCTTATAAGAAATAACATTTCACTCATAATCATAAACAGAACTTATGAAACATTATGATTATGCTAAAGGACAAAATTAGTGGTCTCGATGTTGTGACTAGATAAAATGAAGCGGCCACCAAAAAAATTACCATCATTTGCCACCTCTTCATTTTGTCATTTGACATTCCATCCTCACCATTCCTTAGTTCCAAGAAATGCAACCGTATAATATGCATAAAAACTTTTATCTTCAATAATTTCTGTTTATTTTTTAATTAAATAGTTAACAAATTGCATGGTAATTAATTTCCTATAAGCAATTTATAAATAGGCTAAATTTAAGCACAATAAAATTCAATCCTAACTCTTTTACAATCTTTTTAAAAGAAAGGATTTTATATTTTTATTATAGTCTAATAGTATAGTATAGTATAGTCTGACAGTATAGTATAGTATTCCTTGAAGACTTTTTCTGCTCTTTTTTTATTGATAGCTGCTGATTCTGCAATTTTTATCAACATCTTTCAGATGTGTAGAACTTTGTTTATTATTGAGGCCATAAGAGAGAATTAATTATTAATGAAATGAAACATCTTAAAGACTAAGCTGCCAGTTTATCTTCTTTTCTTTGCTGCAAGATGAAATGAGAATAAAAAGGCGTGTGCAGTATATCCTCTTTGTCCCAAATGACAATGAGGAGGGAAGGGAAAATGGCAAAAATAGTAAAAACCCCGAAAAGTAATATTTGAAAGAAAAAGCAATATTATCAAAAAGTAATATTTAAAAGTAATAATAAAGTAACAACAAAAAAACTGGCAATGATTGAAGGATAAGATTTATCTGAAATAGAAATTTAAAAAACAAATCAAAGATTTAAAAAAAAAAATTTTTGAAGGAATGAACAATAAAAAAATACAGAGATAAATGTAGCTGAGAGCAACAGTTACAGAAATTCTATCCACAATATTTTATGTTTAATTAAGAGGTTTAATAGTTAGTTATTATTTTTTTAGTCTGATACGGAAATTTAAAATTGATTATGAGAAAAAGTTTAAAATTGAACCTTTTATAATTTTTCCTTTTTTTTTATTATTATATTTTCTCAAAACATTATATGTTATAACAATAATATATGTAATATATTTTTTCAAAATAATATCTCAAGTTTTTTAAAGATAATAGGCAACACATAAAGATTGGAACTTCTTAATTATGTAACTTTTGAAAATCATTTGGTATTTACTATTTATGATAATCAATCAACAAAGAGCAACAGGTTCTGCTACAAAACAAGATAACCAGTTTATTTGATGTCAAGAGCAGACAAACAACATGATAGGATATTCAGGGATTGTCTCTGACAAAGTAATTTTTATCTCAGAATTTTCATCTTCTGCCTTGCTAATGTTTAGAAAAATGCACTCATATAAATTAATTATTCTAAAAAAATTAAACTACTCTGCTTAAGCAGATATAAAAAACCTATTAATCATAGTAACCTAATTTATATATTAGGTATAGGTACCTATTATCAGAATACCTACTTCTATAATAAAAGCAGTATCTATAACCATATTTAATTAAACATTAATAAATTGGGAACTTTTAATGTCTTCTAAAAAGCAGCACTAAAATAATTTTTAACTGCATACCTAATAACTGGATTAATCAGTCTGATTTCCAAATGTGTTGGTAAGAAACCTAAAACATGCTTCTCTATTTGTTAAAAATAGCCCTTTCATTATAGGTTCAAATTATTATTAGTAATTTATCAAATCTTATGATTAAAGAACCAAATTGCTTAATTTCAAAATAGAATTTTCAAGAAGTAAAAAATAGAAGAGAGTAAAATTTTATTTAAAATCAAACTTAAAAGCATATAAATATTTTTACATCTTTAGTGTATGCAAAATATATTGAGACACATTTTACTTTTTTCAGTTTACTTTATTAAAAATTATCAATTTTCAAATTAATAAAACACGATTTTTATAAACAAGAAATTTCAAAAATAGTCAGGTTGATCTGATGAGTATTTTCAATCAAAATATTCATTTCCTACTAAAAGAATAACTAGAAAGTGAAAAGGTTCATTATTTTGTCTATAAAACACCTCGATAACGAGCAATTCCACAGAGAAAATTAATAGATTCTTTAGATTGATGACAATAATATAGAATATATAGTTTAAATAATACTTTAAAAACTAATTTTTGCGCTTCCGAAATCCGAACGATCATAAAACTGACTTATGACTTATATAAAATAGATACATGGTATTTTAACTGTCAAGTTTTTCCCTACATGATGATTCAGTGAACAAACAGTAAGAGTTAATTATTAAATGAAATTAGTTAAAATAATACTACGACAACTGCAAATGATGAATATTAACAAAGATGTCGTCGTATTCCTCGGATAAAATATAGGTTAAGTAAACGTAATACTTCAGAAAAATAAATAAATAAATACGAAGAGAATTGATGACCATTTGTAAAGGTCAAACGATATCTACCTAAATACTAGCTTAATTTTGCTAATTACCTATAAAACATATGTTTAGTAATTAACAATTCTGCTTTATTGGATTGTATTTTATTGATGTTTATTAAGATAGATTCCTGCTGCCTATTTCTGTTCAAGAGTTAGCAACAAAAATATGTTCCAATTTAAAATTATTATAACACCGCAATTCGGGTTCGTAGGGCTCGAATACGCCATCTAGGGAGAAGACCGGTTCCATGCCTTTGGCCCTTCTCCCTTCCCTCTTCTCCTCTTTTCTGTTCGATATATTTCCTTTTCTCAATATTTTTCGTTTTTAATTAATAAAAATATTAAAAAATTCCATTATGCTTTAATTGAAAATTTCCATGCTGCTTTCTTTCAGAACTATATTCAATGTAGTTTTCAGCACCATATAGTTTCCCAACTTAAAAGATTTTAATCTATATGAAAATCAAGAAAGAAACTAATGTACTTCCTTCTTCCATGACTCTCAACACGCTAATGGTGATAGCATGCGAACTGTTGTCATAGGTAGAGAGAAGCCAGCTGTAGCGCATTTCGATTGCCAATTTAAGACTTGTCATTTCAAGGCGTAAAAATTGTCATATGAAAAAAAATAATTAGTATATAAACATTTCTTACCTTATCGACAATGTACTAACTTCAAAATTTAAACCTACATGATAATTTGTAAAATTAACTTAATCTTCCTGTTCGAACAATATACTAATACTAACGCAGGACGGTGCACGGCTTGCAACAAGAACAAACAGAAATAAATAAATAAAAAGAGGCCAAATAAGGGCAGCCAAAAAGCGAGTTTTTTTTTCTTTCTAAATCTAGAGACATATCACCTTTTTCAACAATACATTTATAAATAACTAAAACAACTCTTTCTTTTTTTATAAAAATAACCCTTTTTAAATTGCACTTAACATATGAAGAAATTCTTTATAATTCCAATGCGTTCATCATATCTACTTGAATTTTAGCCCTTTCAATTCAGCATGAAAAATTACATCGGAAAATTTGCTGTGAAGGCTCTTACGAAAATTTAAGGTATATTTGAGGTATCGAGGCTGTTTTGAGGTTGCCGAGAAAAACAACCATAAAAATTATACCTCGTAAAAGGTACCTTTAACGTAAACGTAATGTACGTAAAAGGTACCACGTACACCTCAATTGCAACGTTGTAATTGAGGTGTACGAGGTTGTTTTGTATGCACTTCAGCTAATTTTGAGGTAGTTTAAAATTCACTTCAACTAGGCTGATGTGGTGATTTTCAATGCGTACAGGTTGTTCTTCTGATACGTATAAAAAAGTATTTATGAGGTATTAAAAAAAATTGCCTTATTTTAACTAATGAGATTCAAATATTTATTGAGGTCAGTGATGGGCATCATTCACGAAAATTTTATTCATGACTAAATTTTTCAGAATAAATTTATTCTGAATGATTATTCGTATGAAAATTTAGTCATTATTCATCATTCATTATGCAAATATATAAAAATTTTTGAATAATGATTGATGAATAAACTCATTAGTCATGACTAATTTTTCTGAATAAAATTTTGAATAACCAGCGAAAAATGCAATCGATATGTCTCTGTCTATAACGAGATGCAAAACATGGTTTGCTCTTAAACGTCTTATTTTAGGAATTTAACCATAAAACTAAAACAAGTATGAATATTTATTTTTTTGTTATTTAACTTACTCCAACGCAACATACAACCTACTTTTTAGCGCATACAGCGCGCTAAAAAGTAGGTTTATAACAGTTTAGTTACTTAAGTTAATTTTAAAATTTTGTTCTAAAATCTATAAAACACAATTTCTCATAGTTTTTGAAAGCAAACGATAATCTTATTTTAAATAAAATTTTAACTTAAAAAAGTAAACGCTTTTATGCCATGTAACCATTTCTCAAAAGTATGCATTATGTTAGACGAAAGTAAATTTCCTCAAACATTATATAAATATACTTGAAAAGGATTAACGTTTTATTTGTAGTTCTCATAATCGTAGTCAATTAGAGTATTCCGTGCCCATTTTTGTTGACCAGTGAAATTATTCAGCTATTCTTGACTAATGAATAAAGGATACTGAATAAAGAATAATGAATGATTTATTCTTTATTCAAAATATTTCTGACTAATGAATAAATCTTTATTCATTATTCAGATTTTGAATAGTTATTCATCATTCTTTATTCTGAATGACAAATGCCCATCTCTGATTGAGGTGTATGAAGTAATTTTAATTATACCTAAGCTCATTTTGAGGTTGTTTTAAATTAACTTCTTATCAACCAGACTTATAAGGTGATTTTTAAGGTATACCAGGTTATATTTCTGACACTTTGTAACAAAAGAGGTATTTATGAGGTATAAAAAAATTTACCTTATTTCAACTAAGTAAAGAGAGTGAGGTATTTATTGAGGTGCATAAAGTCATTTTATTTATACCTAAGCTTATTTTGAGGTTGTTTTAAATTCATGAAGTCTGACAAAAAGTTTAAAAATAGACTAGGTTTATTGAGTTCAAAGATTTGTAAAAAAAGAAAGAAAGGAAATCTAATTATCAAACTTATATGTACAGTCCGCAAAAAAAAAAAGATATCACCCTGAATAACTTTCGTTCTAATGATCCGATTTTCACGAACTAAGTGTCAATCTTAATGGTTCCTGGGGGTGACCTCAAATATGCTAATTAATTAGTGCTAACTATTAATTAAGTTACGAAATCAGACACAAAAACGTACTTTCTCTGAATAAACATATATTTTTTTTTACATATTTGGAATCTAGACACTTGAATTAGGGTGGTAGACAAAATTTTAAAACAATTGGGTCGTAAATTGGGTTGCAATAAAGGTTTATATATTTGGCGATAGTCCAGAAAACCGCCAAAAAAAGTCGCCTGCGCCAATTTCTGACTGTAAAAAAATTGAAATAATGTTTTGTGATTGCTCTGAGAGGTTTAATTAATAGTTAATAGAAAACATCTCGAAGTTTCTAGGCAATAGACAATTTTTAAGTTCATTTATGTCCAAAAAGCAAAAAAAAAAGAAAAAAAAAATATTTTAATCTCCTTTGAAAAGAAAATTTGAATCGATTTATAAGTTATTTATGATAGTTTTTAGAATTTAAATACATGAACTTTTTATCTGATATTATTTAGATTACACTGTTTTTACTATATTTATTCGAGGATTTTATACTAAAATAAAATGAGCATAACTTATTATAGCTATATACAAAATTTTAGGGATAATCATTTTT